TTATTAGTAATTATGCTTAATTGTGTTTGATAGACTCTCTAATTAAATCCCAATGCAGTTTTATCCATTTTTGTCAATAAAAGCTTAAATAATTGTAGTGCGCAAAATTTTATTTTCTTTCGTGTTTTTTTTACTTGTGGGCATTAATCAATTTCATGTTATATTTGCCTCTCAAACACCAATGGCGCATATATTGTAAAACTAACCAATAGGGGGTTTGTATTTTGGTTCTAATTTGTGATAATTTGGCTTATTGATTTAAGATAAAAATTTATTTATTTATAACAAATGGCAGGCGTTTTGATAGTTATCATTAGCCCTTTAGTTGACTTCGGGCTTCACAGAGGGGAGGAGGAACATCAAAGTGAGAGAATTCAGGAGGGGAAATAGAAGGGTGTTTCAAAGATGCAAAAGAAACAGACACAAAGGCTCAGAGAGGGTAAGATGAGTAGTGGTAGGGGTCGAATATGACATACAGTGGGGGTGATGGTTGTTTGAAGTGAGAAGTCAACTGCCGATTAATAGACTTTTTTGCCGCATGAGTATACGTTGCCCAGGGTGCACCACGTGGAGGTAAGTCTATCGCACACCCCGATTTAAGACAAAAATAAAATTCTAAACAATCATCATCATTGTGCAAATTTTACGATCAGATGACAATGTTAATTTATTTGGCAAGTTGAAAACATTTAAAAAATGATTTTATTAAATTGTACTATTATGAAATGGAGGGTGGGTGAGTGGGGGGGGGGGTTTGGGGCGAATTAAAACTTAAGTGTTATTTTAAATCTCTATCGAATAAACACCAATTTAATTGGACAATTGTTCATCTAGAAAAAAAACGAACAAATAAACGGCACACTCGCCATGGCCTGGCTACCTTCTTGAGGAAAAGAAGTGAAGCCGAGGAGGGTAGGCTGCAGGGATGCTTAATTCACCACTTTATCTCGATTCTAGAAAGTATTATTATTGTTATAAAAGAAGGTAGGTGGGTGTGGCTGGTAAAGACCATTGATTGCTATGGGAATTAATTGGCTTTGCAGCTTGTCTCCAGGTCACCTTATTCTTATTAACAGGAGGAAGCGATTAACTATGCTTCAGAATGAGCTTGCTCTGATTTAATTCTTCTCGTGATTCACTTCTAGTTGATAATTCCTATTGGCACAATATGAAGTATTTGAGGGAGGGGGGGGGGGGGAATTAGGGTCCTAACGTCTCTTTGCCTTGATAAAATTGTAGAAACGCACCGACTAAAACATGTACGTGGCGTATACGGCTGATCGTACAAATTTTGTCGGGGAAAATGGCAGCATCGTTGTCTATATATATATGTCTCTCTTTGAGGGCCCACCTCTAGTTCGAAAAGTTTTAGAAGGGCATGTCTTTGTTCTTCCACTTTCGGGTAACAGGACACTGCTTTCACTCATTTCATTGGGAATGCTTTCTGAAGGCCATGTCTTTAATAATCTCGGCCTAAGATGGAGTATATCTTTTGATTATCGTAATGCTAAAAATAGGTTTTTTGTTTTATTTACCATTTATGCTTTCTAATTCAAGTTTAACCATATTGCTAAAGGCTCTGTTTACCTAACTAATGCTATCGGGATTCATTTTCGAGGGATGTTTGCTCAGTTGAGATAATAAATTCTCCTGTTATAAGGAAAAAATGTCATTAGCATACTTGTGCCAACAAATCTAGTCTGATAAGTGGAACGCATTTAAGCAACTCATGCAATTCAAGATCCTATTAGATTAATAAATTGGGTTCGGTAGGATGGGTAGCTTACACTTCTTATTACTTTGGGGGGGGGGGAGGGGAGGAGCTCTATGAGGCTTCATCTTCACTGCATCTGGACCTTCCATTCTGCCTCTACATGGAGATATTTAGTTGTAAAGGTTGAGTGTAATCTTAGTTTCGGAGAAATTCGGTAATGTAAATAAATTGGGAAGGGACTTGCAAACGCGATCTCTTCCCTACACTCTAATTATCTTCTGAAACGTTCAAAAGCTTGAAGTTAATGCCCAATATTGCTCGATCCTGATATATTGAAGTTGAATTTACGGTTTAGAAGTCCTTAGTGTGAGGCCATTACTCTTCTTCCACATGCACAGGCTTCACAAGCCCGTCTGCCATGTCAGATTTCATGGAAGTGATCCCAGTCGGTGCAAATTTCAGTGTTTGCTAAGTCGAGCCAACGAGGTAGTGGGGCGCAAAGCAGACATCTGCGTCGTAGCTATCGAGTTGAAAGTACTTGGGGAATAGCAGGTTTAGTGTTCCACAATGTCGATTTGGATGCGCGACCTTCCAAATGCACAAGGTGTTCTATTCTTGTGACACCAGACTGTGAGCACAGCATATAATATCAAGTCGTTATTTTTTATTGCACTTTAGAGACACACCTGTCTGGGTTCTAACAGAATTGATGCACCAAGTAGCTCAGGGAATGGCCTACTTGGAATCCTGCAAGCTAGTACATCGCGATTTGGCTGCGAGGAATGTTCTACTTGTGACCCAACGCTTTGCCAAAATCAGTGATTTCGGAATGAGCAAAGCTCTCAATTTCGGCAATGACTATTATCGCGTAAGTTCGTCAAGTTGTGTTGATATGATGGTGAAAAGATTTAACGTCGTAGGACATGGTGTTTATGTAATAGACAAAACTGGCGGATTCAATGCATTGTCAGTGAAATTGGCGTTTTGGCAAGAGTAGCCTCGCATTGTGTTGTTTTTAAGTTTCAGGCGAATGTAAAACTTGAACTGCCACCATGACAAGTGCCTACATCTTGAATATTAGAACTAGATCTATCACTGGACATAATAGCATATATATTCATTCATATCAAATGGCAGGTTTTTTGATAGTTATCATTAGTTATTTGATTGACTTTTGGCTTCACAGAGGGGAGAAACATCAAAGTGAGTTAAAGTGGAGAGGGTGAACAGAAGAGTGATTCATTGATGTAAAAGAGACATATAGACACAAGGGTAGAGAAGAAAGTAAGGTGAGTACTGTGAAAGCGGTCGAATATGACATGAAATGAGGTCATGGTAGTTTGAAGTAAGATGCTAATTGCCGGTTTATAGACATTCTTTTTCATATGAGTATACGTTACCCAGGGTGCACCAGGGGGAAGTAAGTCTATCGCGCACCCCGAATGGCGACTTTAGCATTCTCCCTTCGATGGTAATGATTTAAATAATTAGATAAGATAAAACCTGCCATTTAAGAAAACTTCTTTTTTTACAGTGGGGAAAAAATTGATTGTAAAATATTTAATTGTAAGAGAGTGTCTAAATTCTAGGAACATTGATGTGGAAAGCAATGGCGAAACTAAGAATATCAGCCATCAGGTGACTTCTAGACTTGACTTCATGAAGTTATGACTGCCAATCAACTGTCTGCCATCCTTTTGATTAGTGGGAAATACATTTGGTGAAATTCATCTTCCCAATTTAGATATAGTTTTCAAGCCAGTGAATAGCACTTGTTTAGATACTCTATCAAATGGGAGGCGATTGGGATATATCGTAGTGGAAGATGGATTATGAAAATGTCTCATCACTGCTGTCTTAAATCGGGGTAGTTGACGAGACAATCTTATCAATGAATTCTCCGGGTAGCTTGCTTTGAGAGCATGGGAGTTATTTATTTATATCAAATGGCAGGCATTTTGATAGTTAGCATTAGTCCTTTAGTTGACTTCAGGCTTCACAGATGGGAAGGGACATCAAAGTGAAAAAGGTCGAGATGGGGGGGGACAGAAGAGTGTTTCAAAGATGTAAAAGAGGCAAACACAAAGTTGGAAAAAAGGTGAGATGAGT